GTCTTTATGTTTGGGTCCAATCATTTCACATTTATTCGTGACTCTGAAGTGCTTGTGATTTGGGATTCTAAGCAGTGTATTGTGAATAGAAATGTAGCTCAGAAAAACAGATATAGCCATCAAGTCTAGTTAATATTAATTAACTATACATACAGCTGGCTGGCCTGTTTTCCATTGTTTGGAAAAGAATGCCTTATCCAGAATAGCTATAATTGTTTTGAGCGTCATCTGTCTCTCCAAGTTTTTCACTATCTTCATTAGTACAAGCATTTGTAAGAATGGTTCTGTATTGTTTCTTGGGAAATTAAGAGGTACTTCGAGTCAAGGAAGGGACATAAAGTACAACTGATTCAGTTGAAGTCCCCACTTTCTGTTTGTAGTTGTAGCAGTGCTCTGCAGTTTAGAGTCTTGTTTAAATAAAATTGCATTTGAAGTGCTATACTATGAAATGTCACCTGATTTGTGGTCACTTACTTACAATCATTTTATAAGATAGACTTGTCGATGTATTAAAACAGACTTTTGATTTATACAGTTGCATTTTTTAAATGTATTCTGCTTTTGTTAATTAATCCTAAATACTTCCGTGGCAGTATTAATGTTCAAAGTATTTGATGTTTTAAAAATTGTAAAAATGTAGTTTCATTTGTAGAGGTTAGTGAGGAAACGTATTTTGTTACTGCCAGTAAACCACTACTAGTAATAAAGTTTGAGGTATTTTCCTTTAGAGCTTTTTTATGGCAATTAGGATTTAATTATCTTCAAGTAAGCTGTAGATAGTTATTAAACACATTAAGAGTTCAACACATGTTATGCAGCATCTTCTGCCTGATGGATACTGGAAGGGTGAACAAACCAGAAATAGTAATGCATTGCTTTGAGAACAAGAGTGAGTCAAGAATTGTAAGCAATTCAGTGATTCTTGTTACAATAGCTGATTAGTTGGGAAAAACCTGTTAGCAGAATGAGATGTCCTCGAATTGTGAGTAACGTTTTTGCGCTGAGAGGCTAGTCTCTTTTACCCAGCTGAAGAAATTGAATTTGTACTAGCCTACTTACTCAAAGTCTGTTCATTTGGGAAGTGTTAGCAAATCCAAAGTGGTTAGACTGATAAATTGGTATAGTGAAGTCGAGAGAGCTGGAGACCTTCAGGATAGCATACTGATATCTGAGGTGAAGTCTGAAATTTTTTGGGGGGTGTGAGAATTTCTTATTCCTTCTTAGTTCCTTTTAAGAATGTGCTAGAAGCTGGTATATGTTTAGTGTTTTTGAAAATGTAATTCAAGTTTTATATTTCAGAATGCTGTGTGCATAGTAGATGTATATTATTCTATTTGTACACTGCTGATATTAGAAACGTGTTCCATGTTCTTGAAATGTACTGTGTACTGAAACAGTTTTTTCTGCTTTCTTGAATTATGAGTTTGATTATGGAAACATGTTTACTGGCTCTTTTTTAACATATGTAAAAGTACTAGCTAATACAGCATTTCTCCCTGAGAAAGTTTCTTTTTCCTTTCTCTTGTGCTTATGCTTTTTGGGTTTCTTACTCAAGCCGTAACTTCTGACGTTTCCAACTACTTTCATATTTTCATCTATTATAGAGTATCTATTAATACCGATTATTCAAATTGTGTAAGAATAGAATCAGTATCAGTATTTTGATATCAGTAATTAGATTTACTGCTGCCTGAGCAGTTCTCCTAGTACTTGTGCATTTAAACATTTAACTTTGTATTGCACCATTTCATTAAATAAGTTAACCAAGCTGTGGTTCATATGATTGTGCTGTACTTGAAGACCTGAATTTGAGTCCTAGGTAATCCATGGTCTTATTGAGTTAGTTTTGTTTTTTCTTTTAATTGTTTACCAAAATAGTATTTTGGAGTGAAAGTAGTTTTATCAATTTAATTATTACTGAGATTTATATTTTAAGTTAATTCGTGTTTGGTTACAGTTGTCATTGCAAAAAACTTTTGCACTTTATTCTTAATACTGTGGTATTTCCTGTTTAATGTTAAAGGTCTGCCATATTCCATTTTGTAGACTTACATCTCATGGGGGAATGCCAAAGAAAATTGAGTGAAAGAACAGATCTTGCTTGAGTGCAGGATTTACATGTATTTTTGTGATAGTGATATAGTGATAGATGTAGTGTGATATTCCAGCTCAGGTGTCTTCTACCTCATAGGGCCAAAGAATACCCAAATGTTTTGTAACTTCAGACTTTTTTTCCGAACAGCAGTGAAATGAATGTTGAAGTTCATAATATTGGATTATCAGTGCAATTTACCTTTCTTTCCTACTGATTCTGATACTACAAAAGATATTACAGTTATCTGTTTTCCATGCCTGCGATGTCATGGGCATCATTTGAGGAGGTCAACAAATGGACCAAGTTGCTATTGTTTGAGATACTTGCACATGGTCTGAATTTCTGCCTCCTGCTTTTTTTTTTTTTTTGTGAGATCTGTTCATTGTCTGCAGAAAACCATGAATGTAACTCACTGTTACTGTTGTCGGACTGGAACACTGCCATTACTGTAAAGGAAATAGACCCCAGTTTTCAAAAAACATTTGATTAGCTCTTAACCCCACTATAGTGTACCTCTTCCTAATTTATTTTTTAATTTTTAGATTTTATTTATTTTTTATCTTTATTTTTATTTTCCTCTCCTTTGCATTCATGAATTGTTTCTCTGGAAGAGAAATTATTTGTGTGTATTAATATGTTCTGTGTTACTGTTTTCAGTGCATCATAGTGAATAAAGCATTGCTTTATCAACCCACTCATCAATAATGACCATTAACTGCTGGGTGTCAGATGGAATGTTGAATACAAGCTTGTTCTTCAAAGTGGCAGAATCTGACTCCTTTTTGCTGTAATAAAGTTGCTTCTGTTTGAGGCACTGTGTTGCTGGGAAACTGCTGCTAATTTTATGCCATATGTCAGTAGTGGTGACTCAAGTTGTACATGTCATTGAGTAGCTCTGCTCCTTGTTAGTAAACTCTCTTCTGTTAGGAGAGGGAGAAAAAAAATGTTCTGCAGGGAAGAGTATCCAAAGAAGAGAAAAAATTTGAATTGGGAACAAAAGCTCAGATTGTTCTGTTGATAATGTCACTTTACTTCCAGTCACTGAAGGGGAGAGGTTGCTTGTCTGAATTTACACCAATCTCTTAGACAAGTCTAACAGAAGAACCCTACATTTCTACTGCTTTCTTCTTTGAATTCCAGTTTCCAGTGTGGAGAACTTCAGTATGTGATACGACTGAAAAGAAGAATAACAAATTAGACTCTCAAGAGTTTATGAATTAGGAAACTGAAGTTTTGGTTCACAGCAGTGGTGTACAGTGGCAATTTTGGAAGACTGTAGAAAATACAGTACTTTGTAAAATGAGTTGCTTCACAGCCTGCACGTGAATCAGAACATGCATACAATTACAGTTCTAAAAAGTGAATGTACCTGAGCATAAACTTTAATATATTTTCTAGATGCGTAAATGGAATAAATGGAATCCGACTGTCAAGTTACAGTATTTTCTTAAATCTGCCCTCTTTTGCTGATTAAAGGAGATAATCCATTTCCTGATATTCACATTCAACTCAGTTTTTTATCAGTCTTTGTTTTTAATCTTACTTGGGATGCTTCTGTAAGACTGTGTGTGTGTGTGTGTGTGTGTGTGTGTGTGTGTGTGTGTGTGTGTGTCTGAAGCCTGCTTATTTAAACACACAAATCATGTCAGCTGCAATGCGGCAGTGCTTGGTGCTAATGAGGTTAACATCCAGATTATCCGTCTGTTTGTTTTCTGATCTCTGTGCAATTCTGGCAATGGGAACTGGGGATGAGGGGAAGATATTTTGATTGGATATGGCTTTGTTTTGGCTCAATGCCCTCCTGGTGGCTGGGCAATATATTTCTACCTCCATTTAGGGAGCTCAGTGTTTATTTCATTATTTTTGGTTCAAGCTCTAAGATATAACGTGGTTGGAAAGAGAAAGCTGGAAGTACACGTAGGATCCTTTGTCCCCAAAGAGTTGCTTCAAATGTACTTTTAAATGAAAATAAAAAGAAAACATACTTCCTGACAGTATGCATGTCTACAGATTGGGTATGTGCATGTCTGTGTTTGAAAAGTAATGACTTTGAAATAGAGCTAATCAGGTAATTATTTGGGGCTAAGTCTAGATAGTTGGACAGGCCTTTCATAGGTACAGAAATGCAGATGAGTTATGATTTCTGAGCTCATTTTTTCTCATTTTTAACCCTTCAGTTCCTGACAGCAGTGTGAACTGTGTATTTTACATTCAAATCAGTTGGTCTTAAAGGCAAATAAAGTGAATATAAAATACTTGTCTTTTCCCATTTTCAGCTGTCAGACTGTCTTCATCAAGCTTGATGTCTTCCCAACTGATCCTGTCGTATTTCTGTGCTTGCAACTTTCTTTCCATGTTTTTTTCTTTTTTTCAGAGACACTGTAAAACTGTAGGTCATGAGAAAGTGATGGCACTGGTCTTGGTGATGGAGTTGACTTTCCTTACAGTTCCTTCCTCAATGTTAACTAGTGCTATCCTGCTAGCTGATAACATTGAATATTTATTTATTGCATGTCAGGTTTTTAAGTGATGTGTTAAAAATGTTGCTTTTTTAAGTATCTATTTAACTTCAGTTACTTTGGTGATTATGTAACATGGTTTCACAAGCAGAGGAATCAATACAAGTGGGCCTGAGAAAGGTAGAAACTGTATCATGTAGGCAAGACATATATGAGAGAGGCAGGCATTTTCTGAGTTATTGTTACTACTCTTGTCACTGTAGTGCACAGCTAACCTGCAGAGGAAGGTTGGCAATTCAACGTAGCACGAAGTTTTTCATCCTGGGAAATGGACTAAGATTATGTGCCCTAATACAATCTAAGAGTAGCATATGAAGCTGTATGACTGAGAAGATGAATGCTGTTCTAATGCTCGCTATTGGAATGGTTTTGTTTTCCTTCTTTAGGTCTTCGGGTGAACGGGGAGCTTATTACTGCTTACCCCCAGGTGGTGGTAGTCCGAGTACCAACACCTTGGGTCCAAAGTGACAGTGATATCACAGTCCTTCGCCATCTAGAGAAGATGGGCTGTCGGTTAATGAATCGTCCCCAGGCCATCCTCAACTGTGTCAATAAGTTCTGGACGTTTCAAGAACTTGCTGGTCATGGTGTGCCCCTGCCAGATACCTTTTCTTATGGTAAGCCTTTGGAATCAAATAATGAAATAATTGCCTGCAGAATTTATGCTTTTATAGCGAGTCGAGTTTTGGAAATCCTTAGAATTAAGTAGGGAGAGGCTGATTCCACAAATAAGTGATCAGTAACTAGAAAAAGTATGGTAGTCACATGCTGGCTTTGGCTTTGTTGGTTAGCTGTGATATCTTATGAAGAGTGGTGTAATTATGGCTCTACCTCCCAGCAATTAACTGTGCTGATTACTTCTAAAACACCTTGAGCTCTTCCAGTTGCCTAAAACAACAGACAGAATCTCAGGGAATGGAATGTTACAGGATATTGAAGATCTGAAGTTTAGTAAAATCTGAAAATATGTCAAACTTCTATATAAATAAAAACATCTGTAAATGTATTGGTTGTTATGAAAGGCCAGAAGTAGCACAAGCTCACATGTTCAAGTACTTATGAACAGTTCTTTCAGGTTTGGTATCCCTCTGGAGTTCCCTCCTTCAGTTAATTACTGATGCTCCTTGTTCCTGCCTCTGGAGTCTTTGGTTCGTTACAGAGTGCCAGATTAGGAGAACCATTTGTTTGAGCTACCATAGTTTTTTTTGCTTTAATTAAAATACATTAAAAAATGGAATGCACCTCTCACCCTTCCTTTCTTTTTTGGGAAGCGTTAGTGCCTTCCTCTCCTTCATACGGTTACACTGATAGGCTTTTCTAACGAAAACTTAGCAAAAACACAAACATCAGTCAACTATTTCTATCAATACTATGAAAACGCATTTGAGAAGAAATATCCATTCTTTATAGATACAATTGCTCTAGCTCTTTCAGAAAGGGATGAGTTTTTAGTTCACTGTGGGGAAAGGGAAACTAAGAATGACGGAATAGTTGGAGAACATCTCTGTTTCTTCCTAACTCCCTGCCTGTCTTTTAGTTCTTTTAATGCCTGTCTCTGGAATTTGACAGAAGTGTTACCTTTCTTTTTTACACTAGTATGAAGTTATCAAGGAGAGTCAGCTTTGCCAAGAAAAGCAGAATGTATTGAACTACACTTTATTCTGTGACATGCGTTAAAATCTGTGGTGGAGTAGTGCTAGATGCTTCTGGCTTTCTGAACAGTGTCCTGGCTTCTGTGCTTTACTGCACATGGTTTAAGAGGAGTCTCAGCCCTTCATCTGCTGGCTTATCTTATTTCTTGTGCTGTAGTCAGCCTCCTGTAAATCAAAGAACTCAAATAAAATTAAAGCATTCATCATAAATGTTAAATGTTACTCTCTAAGATTCTTGCAGATTCAATGCAGCAAGAAGATCAAAGTAGTAATTCAAGAAATAGGGAGAAAGAGATGCAAGAGACTTAAGTCTTAGAAAAGGGGAAATAGGTCACAAGATTTGAATTGCTATTGCTGTCAGGATTACGCCTTTGAAAAGCCATGCTGTTTTTCTGGCTTGTAGTTTGGATGGAACTGTTTCTGGTGTTATGTCGGTGGTATTTTCCTGTTAGAAAATTTGGATGATGAAGTACAAGGGCTAAACTGGAACAAGATGGTGGAATCAGGCATTCAAATTTGAATTTGGGGTTGTGATCAATCACCACTATCATTATTAAACATTTGTTAATCTAAAAGAGATTTAAGTTAGATGTTATAATTAAATTCTTAACTCAGAGAGTGGTGAGACACTGGCATAGGCTGCCCAGGGGAGCCTTGGAGGCATTCAAGGCCAGGTTGGATGGGGCCTCGGGCAGCCTGATCTAGGAGTTGGCAACCCTGTCCACAGCAGGTGGGCTGGAACTGAATCTTTAATGTCTCTTTCAACCTAAGCCATTCTATGATAGTCAGCTTGTGTCTTACATTCCAAAGGAAGTAGAAATTGGTAAGGCACAGATTACAAAATTCTTAACTGTTATTTTTTTTTCTCTGCATTATCTAAGTTGGAAGAGTGAGAGGAATGTGTCACAATTAAATCCCCAGTTTGGCTACACCAGGCTGGTGGCATATAATATTATTGGTTTTCTTTTACCAGGTGGTCATGAGAATTTTGCCAAAATGATTGATGAGGCGGAAGTGCTGGAGTTCCCTATGGTGGTGAAGAACACGCGGGGTCACCGAGGTGGGTCTGAGGTCAGAGGTGAAGGCAGGGAGTATTCTGAGCAGTACCAGAGATTTTGTGTTGTCAAAGAGTAATAGTTAAGAAGGTTTTCTATTAGGTGTTGAATTTTTTTTGCAAGTACTTCTAAATTCTTCTAGCCTCCAAATTCTGAATGTTGAGTAGGCTGCAATACTGGGCAGCAGTTTTAATAGAATATGATCTTGAAATACCAGGGAAGGTAAGGGTTCAGAATTAACAGTATATTAGTGACTTTTGCAAGGAGTGCTTTGAACTGGAATAATGGAAGGCCTAGCTCCAGGGATATGGAGAAGTGCCTTCCTGGACTTTAGGGATGTTTCTAAACAGGCATAATAAATAAAACTTTAGTTCAATAAACCTTATTATTATTATTATTTTTTTTTCTAAGTGACTTTTTCTGTAGTTAGGATTCTGATTTGTATATAATCTCATCTGCAGTTTGCCAAATGGAATCTTTCTTTTTTTGGGGGGGGGAATCTCTGACAGCACTGGTGATAGTGCAGCAGGTTCATGTGAAATTTTTCTGTTATCATTCTTTTGATTTAAGGGTTGGATCTAAAATACTACATCAAGTCATTTTAATGATAGATAGTGATCTACTAAAGTAAAAAGGTTTGGAATCAATTTTAGAGGTTATTTATATAGGAGATCACACTGTTTTTAATCCACTTTGAAAAATACAAGAGTAATAAAGAGTCTGAAGTTGATGCTTAAGCACATAAACCAGGAATTACTATAAACTAATAGAAACATACCCACATGACACCACTTCTTCCTTCTTATTGCACCTGTTTATTCCCACACGATTGTTCTGGTACATCTCTTCTGAAACATGATGGTTTCTGTAAACATTCAATAAATGATTCAGGAATAATTATTAGCTTAATCTAGACTAGTTATGTTTATTTGGATTAGTTCCTAGCTCGAATTACCATGTATTTTCACAGACTCTGCACTGATGTGGTGGAACATTAAGAGCAAGAGGCTGTGGCAGTAGAATATTTTGGCAGTAATACCTATTTGTATGGTCTTATAGTGTTTGCAGACCTTTACAATCTGTGATGTTGGAATTTGACTTTTCAGCAAGCTGAATTTGACAAATGTGGAGTAACTGAGGGACTGGATTGGGTTTGCCTTGACATTGCTTCTTGTTAAGATTTAGAAATAATTGTAGAGTTTGTAGCTATTGACTTTCTTTTCAAATTTTTAGCTAGAATTCATATGAATCTCTGCTTAAGGCTAGTGTATCCTGGGCTGCGTTAGGCAAAGTATTGCCAGCAGGTAGAGGGAAGTGACCCTTCCTATCTGCTCAGCAGTGGAAAAGCCACACCTGGAGAGCTGAATCCAGTGCTGGGCTCTCAGAACAAGAGGGATATGAAGCTGAGGTTCAGCAAAGGGCCATGAAGATGATCAAGGAATTGGAGCACCTGTTCTATGAGGGTTCTATGTTCTATGAGGGACCATTGAGCCTAGAGAAGAGAAGGCTCAGAGGGATTTTACCAAGTCTACAATTATTTAAAGGGGAAGTGTCCAGGGGATAGAGCTAGGCTCTTTTCAGTTGTGCCCAATGCCAGGCTGTGTACACAAGCTAGAACACAGGACGTTCCCTATAAATGCCAGGAAGTACTTCCATGGTATGTGTATGACTGAGCACTAGCACAGGTTGGCCAGTTTGGTTGTGGAGTCTTTTTCAAGAAGATGCTCAAAAAAGCATCTGGACATGGTCCTGGGCAGCCTGCTGTAGGTGCTCCTACTTGAGTAAGTGTTGGGACCAGATGACCTCCAGAGGGTCCTAAAGCATCAATTAATTCTGTAATTTTGTTTATGAATCTTACATACTTCATATACTGTACATTCTAATGCAAATTTATCACAGTGCCTGCACTTTCACATTAAGAGAGTTGGGGAAACTTCTTCAAATTAATTTAAGATGGGCCAATTTCAAATGGTATTTATAATTGAGACAAATGTTCACAGGAGTCATTTAATGAATAAAAGTCATGCTCACCTAAGCCAATTTTCTGCAGTTTGCTGCTGCTGCAAATGTGCCATTTTTATTTTGCCAAGATTTTGTGGTGATCCATAATCACAACAAACTAAGTAGTTCTCCTTCAAAGCATCGTTCATTCTGTCCAGTTCTAGGAATACATTAGGAGTAGCTGCCATTGGGAGTGCTAAACTTGGGCATGGGAGAGATCATGTGGAAGATTTTGCTTTTTTGTCTACTTTTAAGTCTAGGTTCTGCTACTGTGATTCTTATAAGAAATTATGTGTTCCTCAAGCAGCATTTTGTGCTATGAAGGACTTAAACCCTGAGAAAGCAGAGACTTCTCCAGTTGAGCACTTGCTAGAATTCTTAGCACATTGTTTCTGCTAGGTCTGCTACAGTTGCAATTCTGTTTTCTTAGAATAGGCAGTTTATAAATCCATTTTTGCATTTTCTTAGTATTGCAGCATAACTCAGTGATAATTGTGCCATAAAAAATAAGTGTAGCCTTATCGCAAAACATACATTTAATATGACATGAATGAGTCATTAACAAAATGAGAGAGGAATTGGGAGAAGTAGCTAAAGATGGAAATGGATGACTTTTTGTAAGACTAGAAAAGAGATGGAAGTGATGGAGTCTTCCTCAAATGCTTTTCATTTGTACTAGTAAAATTGGATGAGAACAGAGAAGTCTTTTGATGTGCTTTAGAAGTGAAGGAGAATGAAATGACATGTTTGAACTTAAAACAAATCTTTCCTAAGTTTGCTGGCAGAAAAGCCAGTAATTCCTGAAGAGCTAAAGAGGTTTTTTTCAAAGTTACAGTACATGCCATTTATGTTTTTGGAATGTTCAGCTAAATTTATCTTGGATACTTTGGAGTGTAGTATTTTGTTCTGAACTAAGTTGTTTCACAGCTAAGCCTCATTCTGGAATTCTGAGTTCTTAGAAGTACTGGGAAGAGAAGCTTTCAGCAACTTCCTGGTAGTGAAGCAGCTTTGCAATAACACACTAGTCGCTTAAGAGCTCCTAGCAACCTGTTGTTTAGCAGTTTCATGTGATTAGTTCTTGCCGTATCAAACATGTAGGCTGTGGGTCTAATTAAATGTCTACTGCTTTTGTAGTATTTCTTCCCTTTTTCTCTCATTAAGGACTTGTTAACTTTACCACCCCAAAACAGACTGAAATTGCAAAAACACCTCCATTATCTACAGCTTCTTGGTTTTATTTGTTTACTTTTATTTTTAATTTATTTTTATACTCTTCTCATGGCTCCTCTATTCTTTCAGTACTTGAATGCTTAGAAGTACTGAAGCACTGGAATGCTAATGTGCACAGAAGAATTTGTAAATGCATATATACACAGATAGCGCATGTAAGAATGAGCAACATAGTGGTCAAAGGTTTCACTTCTCTGTGTTGAATCACTGACTCAGCACAAATTAGTAGCTTCTTTCAATCCTACAATGCATCCTTTCCTTATACAGGCAAAGCTGTGTTCCTGGCACGAGACAAGCACCATCTGGCAGACCTGAGCCATTTGATCCGTCATGACGCCCCATACTTATTTCAAAAATATGTTAAAGAGTCCCATGGCAAGGATGTACGTGTCATCGTAGTAGGAGGCCGTGTGGTGGGCACCATGCTCCGTTGCTCTACAGATGGGAGAATGCAGAGTAACTGCTCACTTGGTAGGAAAAACTTTGTTCATAGTTTTGATCAAAATATTTGAATTCAGAAAAAGGACAAACACAGTTGCGATAAACTGAAAGTTTTATTTTGTGTTATTTGTGTTTACCTTTAGATGTTCACGGAGGAAACGTGAGAGCGAGAACTAAGTGAAATATGCATCACACAAACCTACAATCAGAAACTATCTCTGCCCCTAGATGAATAGGATAGATAGAAGGGGTGGGAATTTCTAAGAGCACAAACAGAGTGTATGGTGCAATGGACTAGAAAAACAAAAGGTAGTGGGAGACCAGAGAAAATATGAGACCACCAATTTGGAAAAGAGTAGAGTACTAAGAGAGAAAATGGTTTAAGGAAGTCAACAGCCAAGTTGCATTTTACAGCTGCTTGTGCTGCCTTAAGTATGTCAGTCTCCTCCCTGCAACATTTTTTCCCTAAAAACCATGTCTGTGAGGAAGTTTACTACACTGATTGTTGTATGCTTAGATCTGTATTTCTGCATCACTTTTTGTAGGCTAGGAGAGGGTGAAGGGAAAAAAGAGGGTTGGGGTTCCTGGCTAGTAAATTCACTGAAATAACTGAAACTGATCTGAGCAGGGATTGGAAGAAATGTCTTCATGTACAGTACAGTTTTAGTAAGTCAAAATGCACTACTTCTCAATGCTGGGGAAATGCAGCCTGGAAGATTTTTCTACTAAATATTTTAAGTGTTGTTTTATATTTTTAAACTTGAGTGATATGTTAAATGAATTTTGTGTCATTTAGTACTTAGATGATGGTCTGTGTAGTAGACGAGTCGAGGTACAGACAGTGTTCCAGAATTCTTTCTTTAGAGACAGTAACTTATGACAGCAAACTGTGAGGGATACAAGCAAATAAAAATGTCCTAACCCTCTTCCCCCACAATTCTGTCTGGTAGATCTGTATTCTTATCAAGAACATTTGGTTCTTGGATAATTTATTGTGATTACTTACAAATACATATAGCAAGCCTCTATCTTAAGGGAGGAAACAAGGGTATGTACAGAAAGCTTCTATCTTAGAGATAGAAACAGAAATGATTTGTTCAGTCATTTTTTTAATTCCCCGAAGATAGCAAAAATATATAACTACATATTTCTTCACTGTTTTTATTACTGTTTTTTTAAACAAGTCATAGTTTTGATCTGCCTTTTGCAGAATCTTTTGAAGTCCTGCTAGGTTTCAAGTTATTAGCAGTTGTTGTGGCAAGGTGGTTGCTTTCTGAGTTGTTATCATCTCTATGCTTGCAGGCTTTCTTTGATCTTCAACTGAACTGCACCAGCCAGGCAAGAAGTATGTTGGTCACCTGTGTCCAGAATAGACACTGAGTTTTTTTTCACTTTTTTTCCAGGTGGTGTAGGGATGATGTGCTCACTGAGTGAACAAGGCAAGCAACTGGCAATCCAAGTGTCCAACATCCTGGGGATGGACGTGTGTGGCATTGACCTACTGATGAAGGACGACGGTTCATTCTACGTCTGTGAGGCCAATGCAAATGTAGGTTTCATTGCCTTTGACAAGGCTTGTAATCTAGATGTAGCTGGTATCATAGCGGACTATGCCACTTCTCTCCTAACCCCCGGTCGCTTGACGCGGCGCATGTCCTTACTCTCTGTGGTGTCCACGGCAAGCGAGACTAGCGAGCCAGAGCTGGGCCCTCCAGCTAGTGCCGTTGTCGACAATATGAGTGCTAGCTCCAGCTCTGTCGACAGCGACCCTGAGACCACGGAGAGAGAGTTGCTCACCAAGCTCCCGGGGGCTCTATTCAACATGAACCAGCTATTAGCCAATGAGATCAAACTTCTTGTGGAGTGATGCCACATGTAAATAGATGACCAACAGAACTCTCTTGTAAAATTTTCTTTGAAACCAACTTGCAGTGCTGTTTATTAGAGAAACTCAGAGAAATGAGGAAAGGAGAGTCAGTCAAGAGAGCAAGATTAAAAGGCATGTGTTCTGTGACAGCTGCCTCTATTTTTTTGCAGAACATAATATTGCGATAATTCTTCAGCACTATTGTTGTAATGAAGATGTTTAATTTACAGCCTAAATGGGAGTTTTATTTGGATGCTGCTTTGATTCTGCAATTTGATATTGCAGTGCATGGGTGTTCGCAGGAAAGCATTGAAATATGATTAACTGGAAAATTTTCAGAAAGTTCTGGTATCTCTCTAGAAACTTTTGTGAGTTAATGCAGCAGTTAACTCTTGTGCTCTCTAAGGCTTGATCTTGTAAACTGCTGACTGCCTTTAATTGTCAGTGAGAGTTGAGGGTGTTAAATGCCAGGTGTTTAAAACTCCTGGATACCTACTGTTCCCACTCTTGTGGTAAATTCAGCATAGTTTTGAAATCATCTCTTTCAGACCTTACAGGATATGGCCATTCAAATGTTGAGACAGAGAGGAGTGTCAGTTGCCCTAATGTGAGCTTCTGTACAAGTCTCAAATTGGTGCCATCTTGATATTAACAGGCAGATTTGTGTCTGTTTTTCTTTATAAGGCATTTGAAAGAGGATTTCTAGTACCTCAGATTTTTTCACTTCAAATCCTGAGTTTGAGAGGTATGCAGGGGAATGGGTCATATTATATTGTGGTAGAAGTGGCACATTTTAACTATTTTTTGCATGATTGGAGGAGTTAAACAGCACTGTAATGTTTGGTATACAAAATAATGTTTAACCCAATGTGAAAAGAAATTACACTAGTTTAAAAAAAAAAAAAATGTGCATTGGCTTGTATTTGTTAGTGTTTTAGTCATTTTGAGAGAGATCTGCAATGTTAATGTTCCTTTTTTTTTTTTTTTGTTTTTGTTTTGTTTTTTTTTAAATACATGCTAGTCCAACACTCCCTTCTCTATGCCTTCATCTTTAACAGTGGCCAAAGTGAAAACACTGCAGACTACTTGCTAAGAAAACACTGAGTTAAAGTCTGTACTATGTTTTTTTTGTTTGTTTGTTTTGGTGGGTTTTTTTTTGTTTTTCTGGTTTTTTTTTTGAGTGGGAGGGGTATTTTTTGCTTTTTATGGGGGAGAAATGTGATAAGGTGTGGAGAAGTGAAAAGTTGGTGAAAAGTGATTAGAAATCTAGAGATACACTAGAATAAAGTTGCAGTTCATACAACACTTAGAAGGCTTACTTTTTCCCATTGAGAGTACTTAAAAGCTGATGTTATCAGAAATCCAAAGTGCATAACAGAAGTTCTTAATTCTTTGGCAAACATGCAACAAATTAAACTAAAAAAAAAAAAAAAAAAAAAAAAAAAAAAAAGGAAAAATAAAAAAAAAAGGGAAGAGAGCTCAGCCAGAATAATAAAAATTTTAAAAAAGTAGAACCTAGGTCCGTAAACATTTAACAAATTGATTCTGTACTCTTATGTGTATGTGGTGTGAATGCACACATTTGTGTGTGTTTGTGAACGCACATTTGCTTTGCTTCATTTCTTTTTGAGTTTTGTCTATTTAGATTCTATTTTTTTTCTAGACTGCCTGATCTTTCTTTGTTGTTCTGGCTGTGCATTTTCTCATTAGCCTTGAACTGTTTTGGGTAACACATAACCAGAACGGAGATATTGAGTCAGTTATTCAGTCCCTATTTTCCCCACCTCCTTTTCTTCCACTTTCTCCTCCCTCTGTTCTCATTCCATTCCCAGTTTTCTGTGATCATAAATCCCTGCAACTATATATATATTTATATATATATATATATATGTATGTGTATATATATATATATATATATATATAAAGATAAGCCTCTTTTTTTAAATACACAAAGTAAAGCGTTTACAATTGAAAAACAATTTTGTGAAAGTAGGGTTTGTTTGGAGGGGGGTTGTGTGTGTGCAATGCTGCTGTTTCCTGGATACTTTAATGAAGCATGTCCCATGTACCCTCTGAGGCTCTGCACTGCCCACTTCTGCGGCCCCTCTTCACCTCTTTGCTGCTCTGCTGTTTTATCTTCACTTGGACCTTAAACACAACTTATGGACACTATGCAGAGAGTCTTCAAGAGGCAATAAACAGAACAGTATTAACCTGCTTTTGTGGAGATTTGATCATGCTTCTTTGTACAGTTCTTTTTTTTTTTTTTTTTTTAATTTAAAAAGGAATGTAATAAAATGGTTTCTTTTTTTTTTGGTAGAATTAAATATTATTATTAAAATCAAGTGTAAGGTTGACTTGTGGTATTAAGCAGGAGAAGTGGACTAGCTGGTCCAGCAACAAAAGGGGGTTCAGCGGCCTGGATATTGCCAAGTCTTTTCTTCCTAAACCCTCAAGTGCACAGGTTGTATCTGAAGAATATAACGGTCTTTAATTTCCATGAAGAGCTGCAGAAGCACAGAACTAAAAGGAAGCTGATTTTCTGGTCACTGAGCAGTACGCTGTTCTTCAGAAACTCTTCTCCCCTTGTGTGTTTATCTAAGGGGAATTTGGATGTTGTTTCTTTTCTTTGGTTTTTCTTTTCCTTTTTATTGGTAGATGCTTGCACTCATTGAGTAGCTGATGGGTCAACCTTCACCTTTTCAGCTGTGGCTCTCATAAAGCCAGTGTGGAATAGAAACGGAGTCAGCTGGTATAGTAGGATCTCTGTACTTCTGTCACAATAATGTCTCTAAGGCAAAAGAACAGGCAACTGAACATTCTGGGCTGTTTTTCAAGGCTCCATTCTATTTTGTGGAGAAATGTTATGTTACACAGTAACTTTACATTTCTCTCACCCTTTCAGAATATCCAGATAACATTTTACCATAATAAAATAGGTGTAGTAAATAGCCATGAGATTTTTTGACAAACAGTGGGTTGAGAAACTTGCTGTTTGGTTCCTTTGTGATAAGATACTCCTCTGTGGTTGGTGCTTCCAAGCAATTTTGGAGATAAGTCTGCGTAGTGATCAGGAAAGGAGGCAATATTTGAAACAACATATATGTTTGTTTATATGTAGGTTATTGACGTTACATATGAAAACGCTACTTGAAGATTTACTGGTACAAATGGTACTTGTCTGATGTATTTACTCACTATTTATCCATTGCTTCTGAAATAGTGAAATGTACAAAATGATATGGGATGCAGAGTAAGGTTCTTGCTTTTAAGTAAAAACCAAACAAACAAACAAACAAAGAGTATCCAAGTATGACCTGTTGTAATCAGGCCAGTCAGGCCAGTATTTCCCATTGAAGGTGAACTTCACAGACCTCAGCTTTATATGCTGTATTTCCTTCATTTCCATATGCTGAAAAAACACATGCTAAACTTTCATATAGTTGCACTAAAACTACCTGCATATTTGAGTTTGGAATTTTATGCTGAAGAAGTAATCAATATACAGCTGGATATAATATCTTACAGTGATAGAAATATTTCTGTATTTCTGAATTTTGAAAAAGCCACTTAGAAACTCTCTTACAACAATGTTTCTTAAACTACACCTGATTATTATTATTATTATTATTATTATTATTATTATTATTATTATTTTGTAACAGTGGAGACTTTCTTCTGTTCAATTTAACATGTTTCTAATTGATGTCTTGCTATGTCAATGTATGGATTGTATCTTAAGCTTTGTATTTAATGCTTTAGTGTGTTTTATAAAAAATTGTAATTCAATGTTACACCACATCATTCATAATGCAATAATAGAAGGTCAATGCTTGATGAGTATGTGGACTGTTAAAGCTTCTTATTCTGAACTAGTGGTCACTATTTGTGCATTTCCTTCTACTTTGTGAGCTATCTTTCATGTGAGATACTTATTCAGGAAATATTCTCTGGAGCACCAGTGTACTTCAGATGCAAAGGATACTTCTTAAGATATTATATTGGACTTCAAAATTCAACACGTGACACCAGTGACATTTGTGAAATCTTTTCTCCCTCTTGTGAATATCTGTCAGTTAAATACCTAAGTGACCCTAGGGGCTTAGAAAGACTTCATGAAAACAATTTGCATGTACAATATCTTTCTCACACCTCACTCTTTTTGAGAAGGTTTATGGGCATTATGGCTGGTGCAAGATAAACGACCCACTTCTCTCTGTGGAATTGTAGGTGCTCAGACAGGTAACTTCTGTTGCTACTGTCTTTTTTTAATTTTTAAATTTTTCACTGTTCTAGAAGCTGTTTTAAAATGAACACTGCAGGTTTCATAAATCTTCGTAAAGTACTATACACTGCAGTATTTATAAACCTTTCTTTGTTTTGAGGGTCTTTTTGGAGTATTCTTGTGGTGGATCTTGCTGGCCTCTCATATTTCTGTTTTTAGTTGAAAAGATTTTATTTATTCATTTAAATTGATGGCAGAAATTTGATGCATGAATTTTGGATGGGTTTTGTTGTTGTTGCTCTATTCTGTGTGACTTACTCTCCCTCTTTTTTTTTTTCTTTTTTTTTTTTTTTAAACAAATATTTTCTAACAGTGTGCACTTTCTTACTGTTCTCTGCAAAACTTTTCAGGAACCAAAAAAGTCAAACAAGTCAGAGAAAACTTTTCCTTCTCTCCTTTCTGATGACAAGAATGAGAACTTATGAAAAGTCCTTGAGAATGTTCCTTCCTAAACTTTTCCTCACAGTAATGCAAGCGGGTAAAATGGTAAACGCTGCAGTTTGGTGACGTCTAAAACCACCCTGTTGTCAGGTAAATTGACTTTTTCTGTTCTAATTGTAACCTTCATAAGTTTGGTAACTTGTCTGCTTTCCTCTCTTCCCATTTTCGCTATTGGTCCATTTTGGTCAAACTTCCTTGAATGATTTATTTAGCAGTGTAATTTAGATAAAATTATACTTCTTTATTTCCTCTTGTTCTACAGGTTGACCTTTTAAGAAATCTGTCAGTGTCCTTTGCTTTACTCAGATGAGACAAAAATGAGGACAGGATTAAAATCCTCTCATGTAGATACGTGTAAATACCTTAATTCCAAAATTCAGTAGAGCAAAATCCAGTGAAGAAGGCAGATGGGGGGGCTGATTCTTTTTGTTTGTGAAAGATGAGGAATGCACTTCATGTTGTCTTCACTGATAGATCTAAGAACTTGTACACTTTATCCTTCTCTGTTAACTCCCTTCCTTATTCTCAAACCACGTTAAAGATGATAAGAATTTCAAGGTTTTTTACTTAATGTGTAGAGGAGAATGTGTACTTTATACACAGAGATAAATATCACACAATTGGAATACATGACTTCATACAGGTTCCCAAATTTGCTGTTGTGGTATTTTGTTTCCTATGACGTGTAAAGATTTAGAACTCATTTCAGATGTTTTTTCAACATAGGTTGTTCTGAAAGGAATGCCTCCTCTTTATATCCAAGGAAACCACAGATGTAAAGAGCACAATAACAGTAACTCATAGAGCAAATTCTCAGCTTCAAAATGCTGTTTTTCAACCTAGTCATCATCAGTAGTCTGTCTAGGTTCCAGGAAAACTGGAAAGATCACCTCTTTCTTAACCCAAAAGACAGTGCACATCGCAGTGCATCTTGAACTTCTTTGTTCGATGAGGAATTCACATGTCACCAGTCCATGAACTGCAGATTGATTATGTGAATGCCAAACAAGAAATTCTTCCATATACCCTTCTACTGCAGCAGAATGATAAGTGTTAGGTGGCAGTAACAGCAGCAGAAGAAACTCATGTGACTGTGGTGTGAGACATCTACGGTGTTAGGAAAAATGGATTGCAAAATATTAACTGGAGTAAGGGGAGTGGGGGACATATACAGAGTCTGTGAGTCGTCCCTTTTAATGCTGAGCCTAATTTACTGAATTAAAATAATTAAAAGACTAGGTGTAATACAGTAGAAACACAGGTCTGTCTAATTTGGTATTTGATTACCTGATGTCCTTGTTGTGGTCTTTGATTCCATGCTCCACATTCTAGTTTCTCCATTGTTTCTCTAGGCTACAGTACTTCCTTTAAAAAATTAAATTTACCTGAAATTGCCAAATCTTTAGTGCACTGAAAAGTAAGTCTGGAAGGAATTAATCTAGTCCAGTAATCTGTCTGCTCTGTAGGAAGATAAGTGCAAGTTATGTATGCTGTTGATGACATGTTGATGACATGTTTGTTTTAACCTATTTTTAAAACCAAAAAATCAATGAGGATAATTCTGCAGGCTTTATTTATGGATTTTTATTTTATGAGAGGAAAAAGGTATTCTTACTCCCAGCCAGAGGTTAACCCTGTGGGCTGACAGCCAATCTACTGTTTAGATAGTTCCTTTTTTTACCCATCTGGGAATGCTGCCTTTTGGGTGATTCTTTTATGTACTTCATATTCTTACAAATCTTCTTGTTCTTCATTTGTTTATCACAATATTACTTGGTGGTAGCTGACACTATATATGTGTATATAGAACATTTCACATCAAATGTTGTTTTCTACTCATCTCAAGCCTGAAGTCATCTGAACACGAAGATCTTACAACCTGGTATTGCCCATATTCGTTCTTTCTGTGCAAGAAGCATAGCTTACAAATCTAAATAATAAGCAGGCAGCTTCATATTGTAGTGACACTTTAGGAAATCAAGATTTTCTTGTAGTACGTGATGGTCAGTTGAGATTTAAGGACAGCTGCAGGGATTCACTTGTAACAAATGAATAATCTTGGCTCTAAGTCTAATCTTTCCCCACCGTTTCTGAATCTTGACCTCTTTTTGGTTATTTTAACTAGTCATTTCAATAATTCCAAACTGGTAAGTAAAGAAGGAAATTCCTTTTTAGGTGGGTATACCAGCCATTAGCCAGTTACAACATACATAAGTTCAAAAACAATGTAGTTGCCAGGCCAGTATCTTCCGCCATATGTCTTGTCAGATAAGTTCATTTCTTCTTGCATAATTCTGGGTGCAGATGTATGTTTTACAATCCTTACTGTTGGTCATCCCCTTAACTCCCCACTGTGATTTACCCAGGGGAGGAGACACATGAATTAACACACCATGCAGACTCTCCTTTTATCTCTCCAGAATGTGCATGCCCTATTCTTTAACAACAGGCAGAAATTTACCTTGGTTATGACTTCTGAGGTATACCCCTTTGGTACAACATTCTATTTTGCAAAAACTATGCCATCTCCCACAACTCCCCCTTTCTTTTATTTATAGTTACTGCTATTTGAATTATCTATTCAGCCAAGGTTCGTAGGTGACTTCCAGCCTTGACATCGTGATGTCACACTTCTCTTCTGCATACATGTCCACCTGATCACCACTTTCTTCTCTTAACATTAACATTTTGTCTGAATACAGTGGTGGCCCTACTGACATCTGCTTAGATAGGGCAGTTTCAATTAGCTGCTGGACCAATCCTCTTAGCGCACAGGAAAATACAACAGCCAATTGCTATTAAAACTCCTGCTACCACAATTAAAGATGTGAGTATGGATGCTACCACTCCTTTCCATTTACCAAACCAAGACTCCAACCGTCTTGCAATTGAAGTGTCCGTTCCTGAATTCTCTACGAGTTCATTGGCCAAAGTAGTGAGTCCTTGCAGTGCTCTAGTTGTGGTGCCATGTGGGGCTGCTTCCTTGGGAATAAGGGTGCAACACTGACTGCCTGGCATCACACACACTCAATCACACATACTCCTCTTTTTAACCAATATCGTATCTAATGGTATCCCCATGGTATCCCCATGCCATGCTACTAGTGATGTCTAATTAATTGTTCTGCAATCCATTTTATAGCATTTCTTGTATATTTTATGAACCTCTGCTGATTGTAGTAAAAAACATAGATCCAATCTATAATTTTATTAATAGTTACCCACCATAACAGTGAAGACTCAAACCCTGCTGCAAGTTGGCTCCTTGCTTTATGTTTGTCAGGGACACCCATGGGTACCCCAATAGTGTGTGTATGTATATGTATATGTATATGTGTGTATATATATATACATATATGTATATATATATATATACATATCATATATATATCATATACATATATATATATATATATATATATATATCCTATCAGTAAATGATAACTCTAGACTTCTTTTGCTTCTTTTTTGTATTTAAGATACCAGGGTGAATGGTATAGCCAATTGTATAAGGGCACATGTATCTCTCCAGTTAGAAGGCAAGGTGGACCACTGGATTTTCCCTCCACAATACTACCAGAGATCTGCCCTGGGAACTATTTGAGAGCCAAGTAGTTCCTCACTACATTTTCTGCAATTTTTAGGGTCTCAGTGGACAGAGTGAATTCTCCCAAGAACGTGGTAGCATTACCACCCTGCTGTGAGGGATAGGCTGTATATTTGCCAACTGTAGATAACATGGGAAGATTTCTGGTGTCCTCACTGTGGAGAGGGGGGAACAAAAGAGAGAGAGAAACTTACAGGTTTCAATTCCCCAGGCAGTCTTCTCCTGGTAGAGTGTGATCATACACACTGTTCCCTGGACATTGTTTGTCCACCTCAATGGAAAGGCGGCCACCTGGGCAACTGGTCGCCCTGAAGCACAAGCATAACAATTGCTATGTTTGAGAATTTGGACATATATATTTTACCCATTCTACCCAGGCATTCACATCCTCATATTCTTTTTCTACCTCAAATGCATGTTGGAGTTCCTTTATTTCCTTAACAGTTATAATGGGGTTATTGAGATAGTGCCCCTCTCCTTTTACAGATTCTCTCTCTTCTTGGGTATGGTTAGTAACATTGGGCTGTGGTTTCCATACAGCTATCTTGAATCTGGCCACTGGGTCTTTCCCTGTCACATCCACTCCAAAACCATAAGTACGGTTTATAATTTTATCTGCCTTTCTAATCATTATCACAATCAGATTGCACTGCAGGGGCTGGCAATTTGGCTGAGCAATCCCTTTAAATATGCTGATTTGATTTTTTGAAGTCCTAATGGAATTGGATGAACTCAGTGAATAAGTCCATCCATTACAGTTGGTTGTTGACCACACATTACTCCATCCTATGTATCTGTTCCTGACCCTGGGGGAGGGCAGTGCTATTTGTTCTCACTAGTTAGTTGTTGAGCCTCCATGTCTCCACAGGCTAACACCTGACTAAATGGTCTGGGGAACCTTGGTCTTGGTTACATTTACCCATAATTTCACAGAGTAGCCTGTTTCCCCTCTCCATTTATCACTGTCCTCCCAATCTATACTCTCAAATCCTTTGAGAGGGGTCATTATTACCACCAGTATTGCAATTTAGCTCTTTTTTAACTTAGCAGTGTTTGGGGCTAGGAGTCAGAGGAGGGCTTTCTTAGAATGATCCATAGGGGATCATCTGAACCCACCAGTCCTCACAGTCTGAGGCTAGATTGGTGAGTCCTTTAACTCATGTACGAGTCCAACATTTTTTCAGTGGTTTGAACAGCTGTCTCTGTGATCAGCAGAACTTGGAAGGGTCTGTCCCACTAGGGCTGAAGTTTAGCTTCCATCCAAGACTGGATCAATATCCAGTCTCCTGGTTGGAACTTGTGGATGGCAAACTCTAGTGACATAGTCTGGGCCAATGGTCCTTCATGTGTGAGAGAAGATAAAGGCAACCCAAGTATGTAGTTTTTGAAAAAGACATCTTTAGTTTCAAACTGAAGAACTCCATCCCCTTTCCCAGGTAGGGTAATCCAAAAAGTATCTCGTAAGGTGAGATTCCAACATCTT